TATCTTGAAGGGAGAGGAGTTGGCCATAGACAAAGAAGCTAAAATTACCCTATGTTTTCTGTATTTCTATAGCCATTGCCGAATATTATAGAATATGTCGTCAAATTCCTACTGAAAACATAGTGTATCTTAATTTTTCCAAAGTAACGAGATTGACTGTTTATGAATTTATGCCATTCAAAAACTAAAGTTGATCAATGGATGTCAGCTATTGTTCAGGCTCTTGCCATTGCTTGCAAAATACCTTACGGTGAGGGTGTAGGTGTGGGTGGGTGTGGGTGGGTGTGGGTGTGGGGTATGAGTGTGGGTGTGGGGCGTGGGTGTGGAGTATGAGTGTGGGCGTGGGTGTGGGCGTGGGTCTGTGGGTGTGGGTGTGAGTAAAGGAAACTTCTAAATGTACACCCATACCCACACCCTCAATTTTTCTGGGGAAAAAGTTGGCTGTTTTTTGACATAAAAAATTTTGATGCAAAAAATCTGTATAAATAGAACAAGCTAAATACCAAATAATACACACTTTTTTAAAGACCAAATTAGTATAAAAAGTGGCATGTTTGCCTGCTTGGGAATTTTTTCGTTCAAATTCATTCTTTTTGATGCTTGTTTATTTTTTTCGTAGATTTCTTTCATACGAGCGTGTTCATGATATTATTCTTTGCTTTATAATCTATTACATTGATGATTGCACAGAAATATCCTTCTTATGCAAACAAATTTTCTTCTTTTTTAAGTCGAGATGGGATACGTATAGCCAATTGAGAAATATTCTTGCGTAAAGAATAAGAGATGAGTTCGATACTTTAATTGACTTTATATTCTTTGTCTTTCCTTTACATCGTCTTAGACAATTTAGTCATATGAGCAATTGATCTAATGTCATCAACTATATCAGTTTTTTCTTTTTTTGCTATCCACGATACCCATGTGTTGTCATTTCGATTTTATTGCGATCATAGAATCATAACTAGGAAACAGTTTAATATTTAGTTAGAAAATATAGTCGTAACTAGCTCTCAAGTAACCGTAAAGTATTGAGTTATCTTTTTACCTTATAGAATTTGCTTCATTCAGAAATGAAACATATAAAAACGTATTTAAAATATGAAACAAAAAAAATTCGTAAAAACAGCACATTTTAACGCGTTAAACTATCCGTCGTTGTAAAAACTCGTTTCAAAATTATAACGCATACGTAAAGCGTTAAAATGTGCGGTTTTTACGATTTGAACGTGTTTATTTTTGACCCATTTTTTATGTTGATTTTGTCTGACTGGGTTGTATTAATATTTATTTACCCAGAGATGCTTTACAAGATTTAATAAATCTAGTATACTATTTCGAAATATTCAACATATTCTAGCAATGTCATTTTTATTCATCTATCTATTTATTTATACATGTTTCATTGTTCGGTTCAATTGAGCGGTGATTAGATTGATGCATTAAAAATCAAATTGTTTGGAAAGGATGGATGGTTTAAGTGTGTTTAAAATATTACACCAATCACTTTTCTTGATTCAGTTCTAATTCGTCTTGTCTCTTTGGAACCAAATCCTTCTAATTCACTATTTGTCTATTGTTAGTTAGGGAATAAATAATATCAAACCAATGACACTATAATGAGGTGCACACATTATAGGTCGATAATTATCACTATTTCGTGTATGTCTTTTTTAATTTTCTGTCCATTTCCATAAACCGATAGAGTGTATTTCAAGAACAAAGTATATCGAAGTAAATAAAATGCACTTTAATTTAATAACTATGAAATTCTCGACCATTATGAGTACGATCATCATCAGCAATAAGATATCATTTGTGACCATGAATCTAACAAACAATAACTGTTGGAAAAAATTAGAACAACAAAAAATGTCATTGACTTAAATATATTATTGTTATTGTTCAAATTTTACTTACGTATATTCTTACAGAATTAAATACTTGAAATATATAGATTTGTTAATTGAAGGTATTCATTTATACATGAATACGTTTAAATAGTCAGTGTTATTGTATATCATGCTGCATTAAAATCAAGAAAAAACTCCTTAAAGAGGCAAAAAATATTTTCAATCGTTTCATAAAATGATTGAAATTCAAGTAGTATTCTTTTTGTTTTTTCTGAGTATGGTAAATGTTAGTATTCTCTAATGACGTTGATAATTATTAATTATTTATTTATTTTTATAGAGAATATTACTCATGACTTCAGTTCTTTTTTTTTCGTGTTGTTTTTGTGCATAGAAAGGAGCTGACGCGAGAAATACAGACTTGTTGTTTTTTCGTTGTTCTATATAATATTTAACCGACTGAAAGGTAGAAAACACCTCATTTTTTTTCTCTCATTGTTACAAACGTTATCTCTGTATCCTCCTCGAACTTACTTTCAAGATTAAAGTGTACATCATCAAAATGCAATACGAACACGACAGCGAAAAAGTGAATATGATGGATGCTCATAGCACACCTATTTCTAAACCATTGCAACTAACTCAAAATCGTGAAGTACAACGAACTCGTAAAATCCTTTTAATCATACTTGGCGTATGTCTTGTGAGTTTTTAGTTTTCTTATGATTATGATTCAACAATAATGACGAAAAATATATTGAATTATTGTCGACTATTTTTTTTTCACACAAATTATCTTTTACTTCAGTTTTACAATAAAAAACGTTGAGAGAGTATTTATTTATAAAAAGAAGAAATACATTATTCAACTTGTTGCAAAATTAAAAACTTGAGAAGAAGATTCTTTTTCGAAGTAATATCTGATTGAAATCTAACATAATTTGAGATAACAGAAGAGATCTATTCAAATTAATACAAAATGATCTTCATGTGCTAATATGAACACGAATATTAATTTGTGTCGTACTAATCTAAAGATAATTTGACTAAATCAAATTATTTAATTATCTGACTAAATTCATAGCAGTTTCTCACAAACAATATTCATACTCTTGGAGAACTTTTCAACATTGATCCATATATATCTATATATTTGAAGAATCTGTCTTACATTGATATTATATATTAATCTTTTAGGGTCTCTGTTTGATTAATACGATTCATGTAATTTTTGAATACATTTCTCAGCATGATACAAAAGAGACTCATCGTGGTGTACAATTGGGTCAAAGTATTATTTCAATAGCTTTCTACAGTTTTGGAATAATCGTCGCTTATCGATACTCTTCAATAGGTCTACGAGTGGTAAGAATTATCTCTTATTTCACTTTTTTTTAATTATCCAAGTCATATAAAAATCTTTTCTTTGAAACAAGTTCATTTTAAGTTTAAAAATAGATTTCATTTGATTTTAATAATTTTTTAGGGTGTGGGGTGTGACTTAATAGAGAAAAACACCCACACCCACCCACACCCACACCCCACACCCACAACCACACCCACACCCACACCCACACCCACCCTCTATACAAATGTATTTCTAGCAAATGACATATAGCGACAATTTTACTTGTTCTACTTGTTAATCTTATAAACCAATAGAAAAAAAAGCTTTCGGTCAAGATTCACTTCTGTGGATCCAATTCATCGATCTTCAAATTGGATGAAAAATGACGTCATTTAGCAGCTAGCGAATTAATCGTGTTATCCATAAAGGAGGCTTAATTACATAAAAATGGACGGTTGAATTTTATAATTATTCTTCTATTTAAGAAAAAAAAACAATTTTCTATTGAAGTCATAACCTCAGCAAATATTTGTTTAAAATTTCTAATATCAAGGATAAATCATTGAACACAACTTCAACAATTTCAAATGAATTTATATGTTCATCATGTCATCATTTAGTTGTTGAACCAAAATTTAGTACATGTGGTCATCGATACTGTTCTTATTGTATTGAAAAAATGATCGAGTATGTTTTATATATGGAATTTCTTTCGTTTAAATTATTTTTTTTTTGTTTAGAAGTCAATCACCAGCAATATGTTCTGCAAATAATTGTGATCAAATGATCAAAAACAATGAAGTAAATAATAAAAAAATCGAAGAAAAAATAATATTTATATACTATTCTTTCATTAAGATTTATCCTGATTTTGCAGCCGAAAATGATTTAAATATTTTAACAAATATTATTTGTCATAATGAAACAAAAGGATGTTCATGGAAAGGGTGGGTGTGGGTGTAGGTGTGGGTGTGAGTGTGGGTGCGGATGTGGGTGTGGGTGTGGATAAAAAGAAGTGAACACCCGCACCCACCCCACCACCACACCCACACCCACACCCACACCCACACCCACACCCACACACCCACACCCACACCCGCCACCACACCCACCCCACACCCACACCCAAAAATGCCATATGTAAAGAAAAACAAAAACAGAAACAGAAACAACAAGATCAAAATAGCAATAGGATTAATTCAACATCAGATAACAATGAAGATAAAATTAATTTAATTTTAAGCTATATTGGTCATGAGTCATCTTGGTTTAGTAGAAAATTAATGAGAATCATTAGTTCAACTAAAATTAATACCAGAATCATCTTCAAAAAATATAAAACAATAGGACAACAATTCAGGGAAAAAATGAAAGGAAAAAATTCAAAGAAAATAGGTGTTATTTATTGCATTGAATGTAAAAACTGTGAGAAAATTTATGTAGGGCAAACAGGAAAAGACATCGATGTAAGAATCAAACAACATAAAGATAAATATCAATTAAAGAATGATCAATCGTCAACTATGGTAGAACATTCGGAAAAAATGAATCATAGTTTCAATTTTGAAGAACCAAACATATTAGCATATGATTCAAATGAACGAAAGCGTGAAATCAAAGAAACACTTCTCACAAAAAAGTTCACACATTGGGCTTTGAATGAAATTTCATTCAATAATAATATTTTCTGAATGAATCTCAAAATTATGGTTAGTTAGATAACTTCAAATGAAAAGACAGATGAATCATAAAAAAAATTTTTTGTTCTATATGTTCTCGAATTCTTGTAAAAATTGTCATAATTGCCTGATGATGACACAAGTTTGTGTTGAAAGCTTGCAATAAAAAAAATGAACTTTCTATATATTTTCATCTTCATTTTTAAGACGATAAATCATTGAACACAATTTCAACAATTTCAAATGAATTTATATGTTCATCATGTCATCATTTAGTTGTTGAACCAAAATTTAGTACATGTGGTCATCGATACTGTTCTTATTGTATTGAAAAAATGATCGAGTATGTTTTATATATGGAATTTCTTTCGTTTAAATTATTTTTTTTGTTTAGAAGTCAATCACCAGCAATATGTTCTGCAAATAATTGTGATCAAATGATCAAAAACAATGAAGTAAATAATAAAAAAATCGAAGAAAAAATAATATTTATACACTATTCTTTCATTAAGATTTATCCTGATTTTGCAGCCGAAAATGATTTAAATATTTTAACAAATATTATTTGTCATAATGAAACAAAAGGATGTTCATGGAAAGGGTGGGTGTGGGTGTGAGTGTGGGTGCGGATGTGGGTGTGGGTGTGGGTGTGGGTGTGGGTGTGGATAAAAAGAAGTGAACACCCGCACCCATCCCACCACCACACCCACACCCACACCCACACCCACACCCCACCCACACACCCACCCCACACCCCACCCACACACTCACCCCACACCCCACCCACACACCCACCCCACACCCAACTGTCGTCGGTTAGTTTTTCCAGCGTTCAAAAGAAACAACACATAGTCGAGACTCAGCTGAAGAAACGCTGAAATATAGCCAAAAGAATTGAGACTCCTCGCTGAAGTTGTCGCAAAACTAGCAGAACGGCAATTGGGAATCATCCATAAATAGCATCATTGCTACAGGATAAAGGCGCTTGGTGAAAACGGGCACGCATGATGTGGGTGTGAGTGTGGGTGTGGCTGGCTTACGGAAATACTCACACCCACATCCCAGCCACAGTCATACCCACGCACACCCCACACCCACACTCCACCCGCACTCACACCCATACCCATACCCACACCCCACATCCACACCCTTTGTTGATAGTATCTGTTCTCGTAAGCAAAGCAATCGTAGCAAAGTTCATACACAGAAACAGTTGCCACTTTTAACTTTCATGAGAAAATCTCGAAAGATGAACACGACTAACTTAACTTATTTTCAAATTTCCATTTACAATAAAAGCTTAAGTTTTGTTTATTATGAAAACGTGAATAATGGTAAAAATGCATACTCATACTTCAAAAACAGACGTTTTATATGCACAACAAATAGGTTGTTTATGAAAAACAAAAAAACTTGCGTTCATTTTCTTCAGGTTCACAGTGAAGCGCGCGTCGTACCCGCTTATAATGATCAACTCTTCTTTTTTGTCTTGTATCGCCGGGCTCACATTCCGATGTATTCAATATTTTTGTTGTTTTGCCAAACTCACCCTTTGCCGCTAGCGGGCCCATTTGGTTAAATGTCCAAAACCAAATGGCTGTTTTACATGCAATTACCTGATCTTCTTCAACTAACTCTGGATTTTTCCATAAATGATCAGGGTCTCGTAATCGTATTCCCTCCCCGGCCTTCTTATAATTAGCCGGATAGGATAATTGAAGCCATCCACGCCCATAATAAGTTTTGCCGTCATATGGCAGAATAGCTGGGCCCCACTGATTACGTTGATACTTAGATAACTCATCTTGGTTGCCATATTCCCGTAACGTCTTCAAACCATCTGTTTCATGCGCAACATGTGCCAGAAATGCAGCGAGATCTAAATCGTTTTCTGGTGTCCATTTCATTTCTTCTATAGCCTTCTGAAATGCATTATAATGCTCTTTACACAATTTCATACTTATGTCAGGAAATACTTCACGAAATATATCAAAACCAATTAAACGATACGAAATCATGATTGACCTAAAAGGAAAAAAGAAACGTATTCCCATCGACATCAACGCGTGTGGGAGTGGGAGTGAGTGTGGGGTCTGTATGTGGATGTGGGTAATGTGTAGAGTTCCTCATGATATTCACAACACACCCGCACCCACATTAACCCAAAATTGTGCTTCTTTGAGTAGGATATTCACTTGGCAGAACAGAAAAAGATAAAAATAATGTGCTTTTTTCTCCTACTCTATCTGTATAATTGTTTTTGTGCCCTTTTAGACGAATCAATGCGCCCATGATAGAAAGCAAATACTCACGCAAACGAGCGATTATATTAAAATATTAGGACCAGAGAAGAAACAATACCTGTTTGCTTCGTCAATATCGACATGAGGGAGCAGAGGGTGTGGGTATCGGTGTGAGGCGGGTGTGGGTGTACGTAAATCAATTGGAAAACAGATCGACTTATATTTCTATAGTGAAAATCAATCTTTTAGTCTCAACTCTTGCTTTTCAGCAATCGATTTCCTGTCAAAAATTAAATTAGAGTGAAATAAATATAAATAAATATGGTTGAATAAAAATTAATTTAAAAGAAATGCATATTATTTTCGTCGACACGTTTCGTGTTATTTATTTAAATAATAAAAGACTCTTCAGGGCTCTGCATTTACAATAAGAAGCAAGAATGGATTTCAAATTAATGATAAAAATAAAAAGTAAAAAAAAATTAACAACTTAAAGGAGACAGCAGGAAACAGTCGGAAAAGAAATGGTAGCATTCTAAAAAATAATATCACTTATTTGTCTCTGAAGATATAGATGGATAATATGGGATTTCAATTTCTAGTTTCTCTTGTTTAAGTGGTAGCATTTTACAGAATAATATCACTTATTTGTCTCTGGAGATATAAGTAGATAATGTCTGATTTCAATTATTTAATTCCAATTATCTCAAATATGGCATGGGTAGTTAAACACCAATCAGGGAAATAATATTTATTCTGTAATTTCCATGTATCAAATCAAGAACGTCCAAGCCATACAATACCAATTTAAATTGAGTTTGTACTACGTGTATCATGAGCTATTGATCAGAAGCTTAATATCATCTATTTATATCGAAGATATCAATTGGTTCATAATATTATAAACAGGGCTAATTGCTAATCGACAAATGAAGATTGCTAGATCAAAGTAATTTGCATGCATCACATGTATCAAATCTATATTTATTCAAATGAAAATAAATCACGTATATGGAATCAAAATGTATAAACAGTAGGCCAATCAAGTTAACAATCTATATTTGTACGAATGAGCATAAGTCACGTTTATGAAATCAAGTTAATAATAATATATATTAATATCACTCAAAATCAGCATCTTTCATTATATTGAATAACTCGACGTTTAGTTGACGGATATTCGAATGTTCACTCAATGGAATTCTTTAACAATCTATTTAGATATAAATATATAAGAGAGTCCGATTGATTAACGTGTAGGCAAATAAACCTCTAACATAATTAATAAAATATGCTCCAGATATAAATAACCACAAGATACGCTTGCCTAGTCTAATATCCAAAATAAGTAATACTAATAAGACATAGTAAAATACGCGTATCCAATATAAGCTATACCGTATATATGAAATCAATATTCTTATTGAATTAACATTCTTTTTGACAGATCATATCCCAATTGTATAAGTTAATGAAATATGTTCCTAAACATATGTGAACATGTGTATCAAGCTTTAAAAATTAAAATAATCATAAGCCATGCGCATCAGATTAGACCATATAAATATTATAATAAATATATAAATATCACTTATTTGTCTTTGAAGACATAGTCAATAAAAATAAGGTATTCATTTTTAAATTTTCAATTAATTATAAATCATATCATTCATTTCTAAATTTTTAGGGTGTGGGGGTGGGTGTCGGTGTAGGTGTGAATTTTAGTCTTTCTCTTCTCCACACCCACACCCTGATTTTTGTTCTTGCATAGCATCATAATACTGTTGTCGTAGAATATCGTTTTTTAAATGACAATAATAATGATTAGCACCGATTTTTTCATCTACTATATAGTACACCTTTGATATCACGATCAGAAAGCATATGACTTATTCATTCATCTGAATGTCAACCAAAAAAACTTTGGTGTAGTTGTGATGACATCACCAGATCCTTTTCATCAAATTTCTGCAAATCAAACATCAATTTGGTTGAACTGCGAAATATATTGTGGAAGATTTGAAAATAACTCTGTCTGTCTAATTGTCCACTTGATTTTTCATATCTGTCATTCTTTCTTTTTGCAAATTATCTTCGCTAGAGATGTTCAAACTACGACAACAATGATCTAGAAATAGTTTATTATTTTTTTATTTGATAAAATGATGTAAAAGTAAAGTTTGATGTGAGCAATGGTTAAGGTAAAAAGCGAAAAAGAAACGAGATTGTCTTCTAGAAATTAATGGATGAGCCCGCAAAGAATGATACTAAGAAATATTAAAGCCACAGTACTATGCAGGACTGCTCCAACACTGGTGGCAGTCATACTACATCCACCACTTGGACACGTGTTGCAATTGTTCGTGTCACAGCAGCTGTATGTGCCCGTACATAACACTGATACACCATTCATGTTAATTGGTCCCAACGAATATGGCATTCCACACCCTGCTGCCTCAACCGCACCATCTAAGACTGTTCCTGTGACTGTGATACCCGATCCGCTACACGAGACAGGAATTGTCTAGAAGATATATAAAAACAAAATCTTTTCCGTGTGCCATTATGGAACTGAGAAGAACTTTCCTTACCGTACACTTAACAAAAGAGTCGTTGGCCACACTCGTCATGCTGCAGCTAGTACTACCACCATTGAAAGAACATATGTTGCAAGTAAGTGCTGTTATTGGAACGATAACTGCAGAAGAAAAAAAAATGACAATATCTCTAAGCTACAGATCGAGTTTTCAGTTCACTCACTCGTAGCGAATAAGATGATAGTTGTGATGAATTTCATTATAATTGATATTTGTTTTGGATAAATGTTTGTCAAATCTAACAAGTAAAAAGACAATAGAAGAAATTAGATACATCAGTGTTCGATGTATTGAGATGTTGAAAGGTGCGAGAATGTGAAGATAAGAGAAACAATGCTGCTAAAGGGAAAAAAGTGTGTCTCTCTATTTTTTTTTCGGTCCAGTGCTGTTGCAAAGTCCGAATCAATCAAGAGCGTAATGATACAGAGTGGAGCAAGGCATAGCTAGAGTTGTGTCAATCGATTTTTCTGATTTAAGCCACATACAGCGGATATATGTGCGTACTGGAGAGACTAAAAAATGTATATGATCGCTCTATCTTTATCTGACGAAGGAAGAGAAGCCAGTTGAAGCATCACAGTAGGTGAGAGTGAGAAAAATGAATCGTCGTTTTCACCTTATCATGCAAATATTTCACGAAGCATGACCATACCCTTTGTAATGATGTGAAATGAATCAGCTGAAATAAGAAATAAGCAAAATAAATATTATCAATCTATGCACGCTCGTCGAACGCAGTCATGCATAGAACTAGTATACTCTTTGACGCATATGAAT